TGATGTAGTCGTTGCAAGCCGGATTGCTTGTGCCCAGCCAGTTGTGTCTCCAGGAAGAGAGAGGCAGCTGGAAGAAAACTGCCTGCTTTGAGCGCAGAGCTTTGCGCTGGAGCATATATGTTCCGTGCGTGACCCTTTTTGTCCTTGCTTTTGAAGGCTGACTCTGGCAAGGTGTGTTCCTTCTGCAAGCGGCTGAAATGGTCTCAACTCTCGCCTGGGAGAGGTTGGGGAGAGGGGCAGTGTCCTTCCAGGGCTGTCCTTGGCAGAGGGATAGTGGCACTCAGGAGAAGGCATCAGCAGCAGAGGGCCTACAAAGAAGCCTAGCGTACATGGCAACGTGGGATTTTCTTGCTTCCCCTGACAGAAGTCCTTTTCCTGCAAATGCTCGGGTCAGAATTTGGCCTGCCCACTCACTGCTCTGGGAGAGTCTTGGGTTAACACACACAGACAGACAGGCTTCCTCCAGCTTTTAGTAGCTCTCTGGAGCAGCACACAGAAGAGCCTCTTGAATATGCAGTTGCAGTTGCAATGCACACATATTGTGAGAGCAAGGTACATCTCAGGACATATCCCAGTGTTCGCTTCTCCACCTAGCATGTGGTCAAGCAAGTAGGTAATGGGAGAGGTAGGAGGAAAGGCAGGACCAGCAGCACTGGTGCCTCCTTCCCCAAAGCGAGTTGTTCATACAAAATATAAATTGAGGTAGAAGTCAAAATCTTGCTTTTGCTTACGTGCTAAACAGCTTTTCTTCGGCACAGAATTCCTCTCCCCTGTTCTTTTTTTGTTTGTTTTGCTACATGAATTTCTGACTATCTTGAATAGGGAAGGCCATTATATTGATGGGATCTTCAGAGAAGCTTTCAAAGAGAAAGCAAAAGGTTGAAGCAAAAAAAAAGCCTCAGCAAAATTGTTCAGGTTGATCTGCATAGCAAATCTGTACATCTGTTGGCAGTGGTCTTGAAGGTGAATTCTTCTGGTTTTGATCTCTGTGAGTACATTGCAAATCTGCTTGGGTCCACTTCAGTGAGTAGACTGAGGCAGGTGGGGCTCAAAGATAAAACCGTGCTGAAACCGTATGTTACATGTCAGACTTAGGCAAGCTTGGCATTTAGCTTTTCCACGTGATTTTCAGTTCCACCTCAGTTCCTGGCTATAAACCAAATCGAAGAAACAAATGCATCTGAAGACTCTTGGATGTGAAGGTCTGGTTCTCCTCCTGGCTACAAATGGGAGCACATGGATAGGAAAAAGAAGGGAAGGGTAGTGCACATTTTTCTTCTGACGCTTCAGGACAAAAGCCAGCAGACAGAGTTCATCTGCAGCATAAAGTCTGCTACTTCTGCGTCTCACTCAGTACTATATATGTTGGTGTAGTAACAGATGCTACTTCTCGCCTCATGCCAGCCTGTACTTAAAAATGCATGTACGGAGGTTTAAGCGAAGTGTATGCTGATGGCTTAAAAGTTGTAATGCTCTCTCTATCTATGACTCTCACAAGAGTGGAGATTTGCTCTTTTCTGAGCACTTAGCTTTCCAACACTTATCTTTTAACTAGCAAAGTAAAAGCTGAGATACTGCTTTTACTTAGATCTTAGCCCAGTGATACTGCTAAGATTAGGAAACTAGTGTCAGCTTAGAAATCTGTAATGCCACAGACTCTGCTCTGCCTTGAGGGTCTTCTAAAATGCAGGCACAGTTATAGCTGGTGTTTGCCTGCTGTCACATTCGCGTCTAACACCTCTCATCTTGCAGGCAGCTCTCCCAGGAGCTCCCCTGAAAGCCTCTCTGAGGCACCTGCTCACTCAGTCCACGCGGCCCCAGACTAAGAGGCAGCTGCTTCATGCTGCAGCATGGAGCCACACACTCTCCTAGCAGCTCGCCTCTGCAGAGGCCCAGCAGCACAGGGAACTATCCGAATCTGAGTGTGATTTGCTGTGAAAAAAAGAAGGCCTGGTACAAGAACCAGTGCTTTACCCAGCCTTCCCTTGGTAAAGTGACTGCTTGCACCTGCCTTGGCCTTGGCTGGCTGAATGGGCAGGAGGCTCCAAGGGAGTCCATGATCTGGTGCCAGCGCCTGCTAACAGCCTACGGCCTTTCCTCAGGGGTGATCAGCGAGCCTAAGAAGGGCACTCGACCTGAGGAGGAAAGGTTGGACGCAGACTGATAGCGGGGCCTGCAGACGCTCTGCCCGGCACGGGACAGCAGTCCCGGCACACGCATGGCGCTCGGGCGCCGTTTCTATCAGCTCCGCCCCCGGGGCTGCCCCCAGCCCATTACCGCGCTCCTCCCCGCGGGAGGCGG